GCTGCTAGGACGAGCCGAGGAGGTGAAACGTCTCGCGCGTATAAATACATCGTGTAAATATAAATAAACCGCGTATTCGATGATCCATGAATAATCCCTGTTGCCCGGTTTGTTCCTTCTTTAACGCGTTTACTGTGCCGTCGCGTACGTCGAAAATTCTTTTATTTACACCGTCGATGCTTCGCTTTCCATTTACACAGAAATGTAGATTTTTGTAACGGTATATAGTGTATAAAGTATTTTTATCTTCTCGCATAATCGAATAATAATATTCGATAATAATATTCAATAATATTCAATAATATCTAATAATATTCAGTAATAATAATATTCAATAATAATGTTCAATAATATCTAATAATATTCAATAATATTTAATAATATTCAATAATATCTTATAATATTCAATAATATCTAATAATATTCAGTAATAATAATATTCGATAATATCTAACAATATCCAGTAATAATAATATTCGAATATATCTAAAATGCTATTTCAATACGTAACGACTACTTACATATAAAAAAAGAAGTTTATTTGCCAAATTCTGTGTTATACGAGAGGATGAAAATATTTACGAAAATATTTGCTTGCTATTTTTATTTTCCGACGTCCGGTGACAAGCAGCCTTCAACATTCGACTTGCACACAGAACCGAATAACAATCCTTCACGGATGGATCGGATGAAAGTAACGCAACAGTCTTCTTCAATGAACTGTCCCGCGAGAGCGACGTTCAACAATGGTCCCGAAAATCGTTCGACCTAGAATCTCACAGAGAAAAGTTGGCAAATATACGTTTTCGTTCTCCCCGGAGCGCGCGGAGTCGGGAACAATGGTCCGGCAATTGATTCCTGCCGACCAAAAATGGCGCAAGTTCAGGGCCGGCTTGCGATCGGTGTTTCGCAACGCAGGAAAAATCCTTAGCTGCGATTAAGTCCTTAAGCAGATTCTGCGAACAACGAGTCACGGCTGTTGAAAATCGTGACGAGACGGACGCGCGGCGGAGATCCCCATTGATGATGACGGGTTTACGGCGATTCGTCGTCGCAGGTAGACTTCCGTGGAAACGAGCGCGGCGCGGCACGGCGAGGCGAGCCGAGGCGATGCGACGCGACGCGAGGGGAGGCGACGCGAGACGACGCTAGGCGAGGCGAGGCGAGGCGAGCCACGAACCCAGCGTATTTTCTTCGCGCGCACTTGATTAAACTCGGCGCGGCCCGGCTCTCTGGTGGGGCTCTCGCGATCAAAAACCTCGCTATCATTTATCACTCGTGCGGCCGGTTCGTTGCACGTACGCGACCTACGCAACTCTCCGTCGCTTTTTCTCGAATATATTTTTTTATCTTCCAAGCGTCGCCACGCGTTGCGCAACGGACCCGCGGCGACCGCTTAAAGGACGCGATTCCGATCGAGCGCAGAGATCTCCGCGCGGCCACACGAACTTCTCTCATCGTTCGAACGTATTTCGGGGGTTATTCGTTCCACCGAAAATCATGCCGACAATTTTACAGACCGTACAACCCCGTTGTCGTCGGGCTAATTTCTCTCTCAAAGAAATCATCCGGCGCGCTGTTATGTATACGCGTGTATTTTCCCAAAGGCGATTTCGAACAAACGATTCCGTAATTGTGCGATTGTTCGCGGGCCGTGGCGGGGGGAACACGCGCAAATAACGAAGCCCATTCACCGTTCCGGCCGGTTTAATTAAAACGTTACGAATCTCATGGACGGCGGCCCGTAAACGCGCGCGCTGAAAAGACTAAGGTGATGGTTTATTACGTTGCACAGCGAAACGTGACATTCTTACGTGAACTGCGCAGGAGAGAATT